TCATGCTGATAAATGACACCACGTGGCTGCTGTTGGAGAAATGGTAGGACAACTGGACGAAGTATGTTATCCATGTAACCCTGAGCTGTCAAGTTTCCGTCAATGATGACCAGCGGTGTCCTCTCCTGCCCACAGATCCCTCCCGACACCATGACATTCCCTCCACCATGTGGTACGACCTCCTGCACGCAACACGCCGCCGTTCGTTCACCCCTTCGGCGGTAAACACGTTGTCTTCCATCAGCCCTAATCATACAGAATCGACTTTCTTCAGTGAAGACAACCCTCTGCCAGTCACGTCGTTGCCAACGTCGTACAGTCCGGGCCCACCTCAATCGCAGACGACGATGTTGCGTTCTCAATAGCTGTCCTCTGTATGGTCTAAAAACCCTGATTCCATGAGCCATGAATCTCCTGGCCACTGTCTGTCGACTAACCCGACTAACTAAAGGTATTTGTCGCCGATGACGTCATTGTCAGGAGGCGATTTCGGAGGTGCAATGTACGCAAGTACCGGTCATCATGGGGCGTGGTCACCCTGGGTCTGCCTGTTCTTGGCCTGTCAGCGGTCCGCCCTGTCTGTCTGTAACGTTGCATCAAGTTGGTAACGGCAACACGGGAGCAACCGAAGGTTCGTGCAATATGGGCGTGGGTGGCTCCCATCTGTACCATACCCAAGGCTCGTTCACGTTGTTCGACTGTGAGTCGTGGCATATCTTTTGTGTGTTTTTTTTATCACTGTGGATGTCTGACTTGCCGTTACAATCGTTTTATACCCTTACCCGCACGTGCATTTGCAGTTGTCCGTGGTTCACGTGTTTTTCACTTTTTCGCGTGTTATCTCGCAAACATGTAACAGACGATTAACATTTTCTGCATACACTATTGTTGTATTTAGGTTATGTGTTTTAGATAGACTTCATCGAAAAAAATTATACTTTGTCTGAAATTTATATTTTCAAGTTGGTAAAGTTTCTTTTGGACGTCAGTTTACATGGCTTGTTATAAAAGCACCTATGTCTGTACTGTTAAATTATGTTTAAGTAGGTAGTGGGAAAATTTCAACTTTCCGTCCATATGAATAATTTGAAATGTGACTAGAAATATCTCAGCTCTCTTGAATGATTAAAACCCACATCAGCCTCCGCCCACTGAGGTCAGGTTTAACAATTCATTAATATCTTTTTATCGTAAAGAAACACATATCACATGCGACCCATATAGTGGCCAAGTGGAAATATTGCTATACCGCGAGAAAGCGATAGAGCAGGAAAGCGAGAAAGCGATGTCCCCTCTCGGCCACCATATTGATCAGGAGGTTTCGGTTCGATTCTCGTGATCCATGATGAAAAAGTTTCAATTCGTGTCTTCGAATTTTAGACAACTGGACGTTTGAAACACAAGGTCTAGACTTCTTCTTCTTATGAAAACATTTATAGCATGGCTGAAGTCTAAAATTTCATCCAGGGTTTTGATGCCTGTAGAAGGAATAGTTGTTCATTATATACTCTTCAAAAAAAGAAACTTGACACTGACTTTCAAAATGTAATATAATGCGATTGTTTCAAAATAGGACACAGAAACCATAATTGAAACACTGTTTAAAGATCAATGTACACAATGTTCAAAACATTAATCGTGTCACCTAGACAGACACACGTACACGATACAGTTAATGTCACAGGGGTACAGAAAATGTCAGTATCGATTGTGCCCACCACGTGCATCAATCACCGCTTGACACCGACGACCCATAGATGCAATCAAGTTGTCAATAACACGCTGTTGGATGTGCTGCCATTCATGCTGAAGTGCATCAAGAAGCGCCGGAAGTGTTTGGGGCGGTGGATTCCTTCTGCGAAGGCGTCGATCCAACTCGTCCCACAGATGCTCAATCGGGGACAAATCTGGTGACCGGGCTGGCCAAGGTAATGTCTGGATGTTGTTTTGCTGTAAGAAGTCCTGACAAACACGTGCAATATGCAGTCGAGCGTTGTCCTCCTGGAACTATCCGCCATGAACGTTGACGTGAGGAAGAACGTAAGGCTACAGGATCAAGTCTCTGTAACGCAGACCTGTCAATGCATCTGCCATATGCACGAGAGGCGTCCTACCAACGTGATGAATTCCGGCCCATACCATGACACTCCCGCCGCCAAATGGGACAACCTGCTGCACACAGTTGGAGGCGTAACGTTCACCTCGACGTCTGTAGACACGTGCGCGCCCATCAGCACGTGTGAGTAGGAAACGGGACTCGTCAGTAAACAGTACATTTCTCAACCTTGCACGTGCCCATCTAACCCTCTGTTGGCAGTAAAGCAGACGGTCCGCCAGATGACGTGGGGTCAATACATGACGTCGAACAGGTCTTCGTGCAAAAAGTCCAGCCTCCCTCAGTCTGTTGCGTACCGTTTGATCTGATGTTCTGCGTACCCCAGGGATCTGTGTGGTTGTAGACGTGGCTGTGGTAGTGCGGTCTCGGAGGTGTCGCAGCCGGATGTATCGATCTTTTGCTTGGGTTGTCACCCTTGGTGTTCCTGACCTTGGTCTGTCGTCAACTCTGTTGGTGTTGTTGTATCGGGTCCACAGTGCGGAGATTGTCTGTCTGGATACGCCAAAGTGCCTGGCCACTTCTTGCTGAGTTGCTCCAGCTTGTAATCTCCCAATGACGTTGTTCCGTTGAGCTGCATTCAGTCTTTGCATTCTGTCACCGCCTCTACTGCCGTTATAAGGACTGTAGGAACAGCCGTTGATGTGGATTTTTATACCCATTCAGCAGGGGGGCCTGCATGCCTAAATGCAGGATCCTGTGCTCCACGTTTTTTACAGGCGGTTGCGTTTGGATGAAACTGTAAAATTGATCCCAAAAGCTACTTTTATGTGTTTTCGCGAATTATAGACACATCATCTTTGTTTGACTTTTTTGGTTCTCATTTAATATAATTATTTTAGATATTTGGCAAAAAGTGGTTTTACATCTATGTCAAGTTTCAATTTTTGAAGTGTATATATAGATGTTTATAATGTTGGCGGCATAGTGGGGGACAGGCAGAGAAGGTTCCTCGGCTGACAACAGGGCTCATCAGTGGCAAACACGACCATCTTTCTTCAACGCCATCATCCACAAGAGGAATATGCAGGCACATTTGGTCTGGGGCCAGGGCTCGTCTATCTACACAGTGGCTCTTGGTTGTTGAAGTGGTGAGATTATTGCTTGTCTGTGCCGATACATGCCATCTGAGACATACGGGAAGGATGTGGGACTTTTAACTTCTGCTTTCACTACACTCTTAACGATAACCAGAAAGAAGAACTTGTGGTTTTCCCTTTTACGATATGACAAACTCAAGTGTCCAAAGTCCATGCATACTTAAAACTCTGTTCTGACTGAGCGGGCAAGGCATTTTATGATATGGTCAAACTATCAACAAACATGTTGATCCAAACTTACTAATAATATCTAAGTGAGTGAGTGAGTATGGTTTTACATCGCTTTTAGCAATATTCCAGCAATATCACGGCGGGGGACACCAAAAATGGGCTTCACACATTGCACCAATGTGGGGAATCGAACCCGGATCTTCGGCGTGACGAGCGAAAGCTTTAATGACAAGGCTACCCCAACGCCAAAAAATACCTAAGAGTAAGACAATGCAATTCTACTTTGAAAACAATCATTGGCAATTGGCTGCATGGAACTGGCTTCTCGCCAATCAAAAGGAATCAAGCTCTTTTTGCTAAATGTGTAATATCACTTAAACGTAATGTGTATGAGAATATTACAGCTTGTTGTTAGATATACTTCTTAATAGACATAAAAGGGGGATAAGAATGTTAACATTTGATAGTTAAAATTTAAAAAGATAGAAATCAAAGTTAAATAAAATCATTATTGATGTAAATTATACTTAACATAAAATACTTCTGATACTGACTATACTAATGTCCTTTGTACATTTACTGTGTAATTCTGATGGCAAGTATTTCTGAAACCTGTAGTTCTTATAACAAGTATTTCAGATAGTCGGTAGTCTCATGGCCTGTACGTCTGATGACCTGTCATTCTGATAGCGTGTAGCTCACATGGCCTGTACTTCTCATGGCCTGTAGTTCTTATGGCAAGTAGTTCTGATGGCCTGTAGTTCTTATGGCCTGTAGCTCTGATGGCCTGTAACCCGTGAAGATCCGGGGTAGAATAGGTCTTCAGCAACCCATGCTTGCCGTAAAAGGCGACTATGCTTGTCGTAACGGGCGACTAACGGGATCGGGTGGTCATGCTCGCTGACTTGGTTGATGCATGTCATCGATCACAATTGCGTGGATCGATGTTCATGATGTAGATAACTGGATTGTCAGGTCCAGACTCGATCATTTACAGACCGCCGTCATATAGCTGGAATATTGCTGAGTGCGGCGTAAAACAACAAACCAAAACCAAAAATCTGATGGCCTGTTGTTCTGATGGCGAATAGTTCTTATGGCAAGTATTTCTGATGACCTGTTGTTCTGATGGCGTGTTGTTCTTATGATAAGTATTTCTGATGGCCTGTACTCCATATTGGACTCCATCACGCTCAGTCCATCATGACATAGCAGAATGAGCCAGTTGGGATTGCATAATCAGTGTAGTTATTTGAGACTGTAGTTCTTATGAGGGTGTGGCCATGGGCCGCCATGCGTGCACGGCGTGATCGTCCCATAAAACTCCTAATTAGGGCCATAAAACAATAAGTTAGTATTCGCAGGTTTTCAGCGGAATATTCGCAGTTCTAATGCAGAACACGGTTACAAACATTTGCGTTGGAGAGTACGTCTAGGTAAAATATACACACATGCAAGTGGCATTCCGCTCTCGAATAGTTACAGTGATGAAAGATCACATTTATATTTTCGTTTTGGTAATGTTTAAAGTCAAGAATTATGACGTAAAACGATTATTTACAGCTATGCTGGCAGATGATGAACAAAATACATAGAATTAAATGTGATATATTCACCTCTCGACGGGGAAGAAACAAGCTGGCTGCTTGTCATCTTCAGCACTGGGCTCAGTGTAAAGGCTGTTTGATACGCATGAGCTGTATTTTACTTCCTGCTTGTCTTGTTTGAGTATTGATTTCTAAGTGTCATGAAAGTATAGAAAAGTCGTGCTTTGGGTGGAACAATGATAGCTACGTACATGCGACCGTGTCTCATATCATATATCGCGAGGCTTAACTAGAAAACATCTCTGAACCTCTACATTTCAACATGGCGTGTCAGCTTAAATGTTGTCATCGAGTGAGAGAGTGAGGGTGTAAGTGAATTTGATTTAACGTCCCTTTGAACAGTATTCCAGTTATATCATGGCGTGTCAGTGTTATGTGGGAGGAAATGGGATGCCAGTCTCAGGCGTTTACCACTGTGGTGAAACCCACGAGCACGGATATGGTGCCTGCAAACCTAGATACATAATCAGGGCGAGACGGGATTGAAACCCGCGATCATAGGCTTCTGTCGTGCCCAAGGAACGCAAATCTATCATTGCATATTTTGGCGCATCAGACGATCCCCGCATACACATGAATGTGCTGCACGTGAAGGCTACTCCCGTGGTACAAGACACCATGAATGTGCTGCATGTGAAGGCTACTCATGTAGTACAAGACACCATGAATGTGCTGCATGTGAAGGCTACTCCCGTGGTACAAGACACCATGAATGTGCTGCACGTGAAGGCTACTCCCGTGGTACAAGACACCATGAATGTGGTGCACGTGAAGGCTACTCCCGTGGTACAAGACACCATGAATGTGCTGCAAGTGATGGCTACTCCCGTGGTACAAGACACCATGAATGTGCTGCACGTGAAGGCTACTCCCGTGGTACAAGACACTATGAATGTGCTGCACGTGAAGGCTACTCCCGTGGTAGAAGACACCATGAATGTGCTGCACGTGAAGGCTACTCCCGTGGTACAAGACACCATGAATATGCTGCGCGTGAAGGCTACTCCCGTGGTACAAGACACCATGAATGTGCTGCACGTGAAGACTACTCCCGTGGTACAAGACACCATGAATGTGCTGCATGTGAAGGCTACTCCTGTGGTACAAGACACAATGAATGTGCTGCACGTGAAGGCTACTCCCGTGGTACAAGACACCATGAATGTGCTGCATGTGATGGCTACTCCCGTGGTACAAGACACCATGAATGTGCTGCACGTGAAGGCTACTCCCGTGGTACAAGACACCATGAATATGCTGCACGTGAAGGCTACTCCTGTGGTACAAGACACCATGAATGTGCTGCACGTGAAGGCTACTCCCGTGGTACAAGACACCATGAATGTGCTACACGTGAAGGCTACTCCTGTAGTACAAGACACCATGAATGTGCTGCACGTGAAGGCTACTCATGTAGTACAAGACACCATGAATGTGCTGCACGTGAAGGCTACTCCTTAGGTACAAGACACCATGAATGTGCTGCATGTGAAGGCTACTCATGTAGTACAAGACACCATGAATGTGCTGCACGTGAAGGCTACTCATGTAGTACAAGACACCATGAATATGCTGCGCGTGAAGGCTACTCATGTAGTACAAGACACCATGAATGTGCTGCGCGTGAAGGCTACTCATGTAGTACAAGACACCATGAATGTGCTGCGCGTGAAGGCTACTCATGTAGTACAAGACACCATGAATGTGCTGGATGTGAAGGCTACTCATGTAGTACATTACACCATAATGTGCTGCGAGTGAAGGCTACTCATGTAGTACACGACACCATAAATGTGCTGCATGTGAAGGCTACTCATGTAGTAGAAGACACCATGAATGTGCTGCGCGTGAAGGCTACTCATGTAGTACAAGACACCATGAATGTGCTGCACGTGAAGGCTACTCATGTAGTACAAGACATCATGAATGTGCTGCGCGTGAAGGCTACTCCCGTAGTACAAGACACCATGAATGTGCTGCGCGTGAAGGCTACTCATGTAGTACAAGACACCGTGAATGTGCTGCACGTGAAGGCTACTCATGTAGTACAAGAAACCATGAATGTGCTGCACGTGAAGGCTACTCCCGTGGTACAAGACACCATGAATGTGCTGCACGTGAAGGCTACTCCTGTGGCACAAGACACCATGAATGTGCTGCACGTGAAGGCTACTCCTGTGGCACAAGACACCATGAATGTGCTGCACGTGAAGGCTACTCATGTAGAACAAGACACCATGAATATGCTGTGCGTGAATGCTACTCATGTAGTACAAGACACCATGAATGTGCTGCGCGTGAAGGCTACTCATGTAGTACAAGACACCATGAATGTGCTGCATGTGAAGGCTACTCATGTAGTACATTACACCATAATGTGCTGCGAGTGAAGGCTACTCATGTAGTACACGACACCATAAATGTGCTGCATGTGAAGGCTACTCATGTAGTACAAGACACCATGAATGTGCTGCATGTGAAGGCTACTCCTGTAGTACAAGACTCCATGAATGTGCTGCATGTGATGGCTACTCCCGTGGTACAAGACACCATGAATGTGCTGCATGTGAAGGCTACTCCTGAAGTACACCATGAATGTGCTGCACGTGAAGGCTACTCCTGTAGTACAAGACACCATGAATATGCTGCGCGTGAAGGCTACTCATGTAGTACAAGACACCATGAATGTGCTGCACGTGAAGGCTACTCATGTAGTACAAGACACCATGAATGTGCTGCGCGTGAAGGCTACTCATGTAGTACAAGACACCATGAATGTGCTGCGCGTGAAGGCTACTCATGTGGTACAAGACACCATGAATGTGCTGCACGTGAAGGCTACTCCTGTGGTACAAGACACCATGAATGTGCTGTGCGTGAAGGCTACTCATGTAGTACAAGACGTCATGAATGTGCTGCACGTGATGGCTACTCCCGTGATACAAGACACCATGAATGTGCTGCACGTGAAGGCTACTCCTGTGGTAGAAGACACCGTGAATGTGCTGCACGTGAAGGCTACTCCTGTGGTACAAGACACCATGAATGTGCTGGAAATTTGGGTTTGGCCTGATTGACAAGGACGTAGTCACGTAACAGATTAACATTGTTTGTTGTTTAACGCAGCAATATTCCAGCTATATGTCGGCAGCCTGTAACAAATCGATACTAGTGATTGATATTATTAGCAAACGGTCGGGGTAGGATGATGACACACCATCAACCATGTCAGCGAGCCTGGTCATCCGATCCTTAATTTTAGTCGCCTCTTTCGACCAGCATTGATTGTTGGGATCTATTCTAACACGGTATCCCCAAGTGTTGCTTTAAAGCAATTTCAAATTGGTATAAATTTCAAAACACACCTTACTGAAAACCACAAATATATATACACAAGTACTGCTTCTATGCATGTGTTTTGTTTGTATGGTTCAGGAAGTGCGCAGTAAACGCTTAATGTATAACCAAACCATGGCTGACAAACCGACGTGGCAGCTGCGTGTGACACGGGTGGGCAACACACATTCACCCAGACGCATTTCATCTGAAAGGTTCCAGTTGGTTGATCAAGGTCCTTCGTACAATCATACATTCAAACACCTGCAAGAATAATATGGCAGAATAATTTTGCTTTACATTTTTACATTGAATTCCGCAAGTTTCGCCATGACCTCAGCAGCATTTATCAGTGATGCTGAGTTAACTACAAAAGAAAATGTTTGGATCGAGATATTATATAACTGCTTACCGTATTCGACGTAATAAGCGCCCAGGGCGCTCTCAAAATTAGAAACAGGGCTCTTATTTAAATATTATTTTGGTGAAAAAAACAGAGTTGAAAGATAAATGTCATGGTATATGCTGACAGCCTGAAATGTTTATGTACGACAGATATATTTTTCCAGAATTTGATTGCCCATAATTAAGGGTGCATATAACACACGAGCACGTATTAAACGCGAAAAAATAAGTCTTGTGTACATTGATTAATCGGAAGGGTGCCAATTGGGATTGTTCACTAGCCAATATATTGGCAAATATCGCCATGGGCGTTTTTTAAGAGCGGGGCGCATATTACGTCGAATACGGTACTTGATTGTCTGGTTAATGCACAGGCTGCCGTCACATGGCTGGAGTACTGATGTGTGGCGTCTGGTAACAAACAAACACTAACTTGTTATACAAAGTGTGTGAGTGGCGGGTGCAACTGTAAGCAAGGACTGCTTACCCTTTTCCGCGAACACCGTGTGACTTTTAGTGATCCATTCATATAATATTCACCGCTCTGTTGCCTTTAAAGCAATGGAATCTCTTTCCGCGGATAATCGAGACTGGTTATTCTATGGCGTGGACATTATATATTTAGATTTGTTTATTTCAAAGCTGACTTTATATACACACCCTTGTCAGCCTGTTGTTGAGTTATTTGTTTGTTTGTTGTTTAAAGCCGCACTCAGCAATAGTCCAGCTATATGACGGCGGTCTGTAAATAATCGAGTCTGGGCCAGACAATCCAGTGATTGACATCATGAGCATCGATTCACGCAGTTGGGATACGATGACATGCATCAACCAAGTCAGCGGGCCTGACCACCCGATCTCGTTAGTCGCCCCTTACGACAAGCATAGTCGCCTTTAACGGCATGCATTGGTTACTGAAGTATACTAACGGCGAAAAGGTAACTGTACTTCATACCAAGTTCATTAAAATAAATTTAATCTGGAATTATATTTAAGATGAGACCAATTAATGGCAGAACCGTATGCAACCGTGGGTTGCGGGAACACAACATGCGGCCCCGACGCCTAGCCATACACCCAAGTTTGCTTCTACGACACCGTCAGGCACGCTTGGATTAGACAGCATCTGAGGCTCAGAAGACAAGACTGGTCCAGGTTTCATCTGGACGGCTCTGGTGGTCGTCCATGAAAACTTTTCATCGGCGCTTGCGTTACTCAACGCCGTCATTTTTTAGGTGGAAATGGAATGATATTGGGTGGCATCACTACTCATCATTGTTAATGATAATTTGAATGGTGTACGCTATCGGGACGACATTGTTCGTGACCATATTCTCCCCTCTGTGCAAATGCAGGGACGTAACATCACGTTATACATGTTGTAAC